GTGCGCCCATTCACCAGGTTGAAGTTACTGAGGTTATTAGAAAGCCTCTCGGTGGCAGGGCCCCAGGGGTCGATGAGATTCGTCCTGAGAACCTTAAATCTCTGGACGTTGTAGAACTGTCTTTGTTGACATGTCTCTGCAGTATTGCGTGGTGGTCAGGGACAGTTAGCCTGGATTGGCAGACCGTGGTGGTGGTCCCTTAATTTAAAACGGGTGACCGAAGGTTGTGCTCCAATTAGAGAGGAGTCACACTCTTTAACCTCCCCGGTATTCTCTACACCGGGGTGCTGGAGAGGAGGATCCAGCCGAGAGTTGGACCTCGGATCCAGGAGGAACAATTTGTTTTGTCCTGGTCGCAGCACAATTTACCAGCTCTACAAAAACTGCAACTACAGGTGGAAGAAATTTACTTAACAACAAACTTTCTCCTTAAAAGATACAAACAGTCAGACTCCATAAAATGGGAAGGCTCCACAAACCACTGTATAAAACAATGGGGGAAACAGAGTTAAACTACATGGTAGGAAGTAGTACAACATTCCAAATTGTTTTATATTATGTTTCATGCTTCAAGGTACGAGATGGAGGGACATGAATGTGTACATGTGCAGTGCCCCCCATGGAATATCTCCAAACAGAGGTTGGTGTTCTTCCTGGTCAAATGTTTGGTGGCACACTAATAGTTGGGCACCCTATCATTCAATTAAATTCAATGCAGTTTATTTATATAGCGCCAAATTCACAACACATGTCATCTCAAGGCACTTTACAGTTCAACCAGATCATACAGTCAAATTTATACAAAGTTTTCTATCTAAGGAAAACCAGTTGATTGCACTGACTCATTGACTCAAATACAATCCCTCACACTAAGCATGCTTGTAGCGACAGTGGAGAGGAAAAACTCCCTTTTAACAGGAAGAAACCTCCAGCAGAACCAGGCTCAGTGTGAGCGGCCATCTGCTGAGGCCGACTGGCGTTCAAGGAGACAGAAGCAGAGACACAAAAAGCAGCTGTAAAAGGCGGCCCCGTCCAGGAAACACACAGCCAGGCAGACGGGCTCCGAGCCAGCTCCCATGCCAGTAAACGAAGAGAGCACATCCACTCAGTCACGGTCAGAGAAACAGGACCACAGTGGAAAACAGGCCGATCTCCAACATCTATAAACAAGGGTGTTGATGGAAGCAGCACAGCTGATATTTTTTTCCAGGATGACGTCACAGCCAAACAGGAACAGACGAGGCAAAGCTACTCTGAGGAAAAGCAGAGAGAGCAGAACATTAGAGATTGAACTAACAGATTCTGCAGAATAGGAGAACAGAGAGAGAATGAAGCAGAATGATGAAATGGGGGTCCCTATGTCCTCCAGAAGCCTAAGCCTATAGCAGCATAACTATAGAGATAGCTCTATGACCATCTTATACTACATCTCAGGCAGTGGTATGGAATATTACCTAACACAATACATTGGAGTGATGGAAAGCCTGGTGTAAATCCTCTTTTGCTGACCTTTAATCACTGGAAATCTGGCCAGATCCTGCTCGGGCTGTGTACGCGGTTATACCACTGAGTTAAATGTCAGACCAACTCTCCATCTGGTGTAACCAGCATTTGAATATGCAGTTAATGGCACTAAAGCCGATCAGAGTTATATGGCCTGCCTATTACAAGTAAAGTCAGCATAATTTAGATAATGCATGCTCAGCCTGATGCTAAGCCTTTATCCTTCTGTTCCTCAAAATACAGCATCCCAGACTTCCAATGTTACCTGTATTATTGATCAAAAATACTGCTACAAAAATCATTCAGGTGGGGCAATTAGATAAAAAGTATTGCAAGACTTCTGTTGACATTACTGGAGATGGTAATTTTTACTCTATTAACAGTAAATAGAGCTGGTATATGGTGGTATTGTGGAGGACACAGATTGTTAGGATGGTTACCAGCAATTGGGCTGGGATATATGTGTCACGATGGCTAATGGAACCTAGCCCATGTGCAGAACACTCTGAGGCAGGAGAAAAGTTCAAAGGTTTATTTAAGAAATGTAAATAATAAACAAGTCCAGCGTTAGGGAGACTGATCTGGATTTGGTTCACTGCTGATCAGGAGATGAGCAGAGCTGCAGAGAGGGGGGAAACCTTGTGGATCCAGAGGCTGTTGGCAGACTGAGGGTTGAGGGCTAGCAGAGGTTGAGCTGAGTGCAGGCGGGAGGAGAACTGAGAGCTTTGGCTGAGGCAGTCTGAGTTCTGGCGGGCAGGTTCCAGGTTAGGAACACAGTTCAGGCAGGAGGAGAGCTGAGAGCTGGGCAGAGGCAGTCTGAATGCAGACTGGCAGACTCCAGGTTTGGTTCTCTCTCTCTCTCTTGAGAGCTGGGTTGAGACGGTCAGAGTGCATGGCTTACTGTGTGCTTGCAGGCAGATCGCAGACAGAGTCTCTCTCCTAGTTTTCCTCTGAGGGCGGGCTGGCAGCAGCTGACAGATGAGGCCCTCCAGAGTTCAACAGAGAGCGGGCAGGCAGATCACAGCAGAGATAACTCTCCAGAGTTACTGGTAGTCAGGCTGGATTTATCTGTGAGACAGAAAGGGGAAACAGGATCAGGCTTGGGTCATAAAAATTCGGAAGACTCAGACAGGCAGGTTGGCTCAGGTTTTGCTAACCGTTACTGGCAAACACTCTGGTGTTGGAGTGTTAGTCTCCTCTTCCTTAAGTAGGCCAAAGGCTGATGAGGAGATTAAAGACAGGTGTTGCAGGTGAGCACAAGCCCTCAGGAAGGGATCCTCGGCGCCCTCTGGTGGGCAGGCCTCTGGATCCCAAGAGACAGCAGAAGCCCTCAGGAAGGGATCCTCGGTGCCCTCTGGTGGGCAAACCTCCGGATCCCAACAGTACCCCCCCCTCAGGAGCGGATACCAGACGCCCCAGATCAGTCAAAGAAAAAAAAACAAAAAAAACACCCATGTTGGGCGTAGGGGGCACCAGGTAAGGAGGGAACGAAAACACAAAAACAGAGTCCAAAACAAAAAACAACCCACCCAGGGTCGAACAACCCACCTAAAGTGGGCGAGGGCAAAAAAAATCTCAGAAGATTGATTAGGAAGAGTCTCTGGAGGCCGGCCATGGGGCCGGAGGCGAGGATGAGTCTCAGGAGGCCTGCTGCGGGACCTGATACGAGGGGGAGTCTCTGGAGGCTGCATCAATTAGTTATTGATGCTTCTCCTTTAATATGATCATTGTTATCATTTAGAACGTGAAAAACCTGTGTGAACTATGGACAGCAGAGTTGGTTAGAATCATTTCAATCATCATAATATCTTCAGAACAATTTCAAAGATATTTTATTGTATTTATTTTGTTGTGGGTGTGACCTGGAAAACCCACAGCCTGACAGCACATGCCATAGTGTAAATTCAAACATATATAGGAGCCCTACCTCTGCAGAGGAGAAGACCCACTCCAATATTAGGCTATACTCACCTATCCCAATTTACATAAATTAGCATGATAAAAATATTTGTTAATGACAGTAGCATCGGTACCATTTGAGTGGGTCTTCTCCCAAACTGGAGAAGAAGTGAGAAAGAAGTCAATCACTGTTTACGTTTTTTTTTATTAAAAATAGTTTAACTGAAAAACAAAGGTGCAAAACAAGCTCCTCTCAATTTCACAATTTAAAGTAACATGAGCAAAGACCCGGTACAGAAGCACAGACCCTTCCCACGTTATCTTTTTTTTTTATGTTAAAAACATCCTAAAGTACAGTATCATATTTTGAGGTAGAACTACTCAACATTCAGCTCAGAAAGGTTTTAATATCTGCTATGCGTCAGAATGGCTGTTTATCAGATTACAGTTTTAAACGTCAGACATTTGTTTTTGAAAATAATTTATTTATATTAACATTATTAATACCATTACCAGGAAGCAAAAAAGTTCAGCCATGAATTAATACAGATATCAGGATATCTGCTTAAAGGTAGTTCTCATTGCATCCACCAGATGCCGCCATTTAAAAGTGTAATAAATATGTTGAGCACGGTGTCGACTTTTGGCCAATTGTGTCAACGGGTTTTGTAGTTTGTTTGGGTCTTTCTAGGTAGTAGTGGGTAAAAAGTAGTTAGAATCTATGTTGAAGTGAGAAAGTCCTCCTGAAAACATGGTCTGCGCAGTCAGTTCATCCAGATTACCATCCTACCTTCAAAGATTATTTCTCTGTGGGAGCCGCTCAGACCCCCACATACCGGCGCTGCGCTGTCACTGGGAAATCCATTCAACAACAGCCTCTGGCGTGGTCGCCTCCTTGCAACTGCAGGCACAAGGAGAATAAAAGCAAACATGATTTGCCGGCAGATTTCCTCATTTTAAGATAATTTAGGCGTTAATAAACTGTTTCGGAGGAGTGATCATAGCGCTCTGCATCCAGCTACCAAATCAGAGGCACGCTGCTCCTGTTGCTGTAGATGTAGCATGCGCGTTCATGTGCTTTGAGGGCGTGGTTTCGAGGGGTGGTCTGAAGGGAGAGGCATGGTTGTGTATGTTCAAAAATATAGCTTGCTGGAACCGTTTTTCCAAAATCTCCTACAGCACCTTTAATTTTGACTTAAAACAAATAAGATTTTTTCATCTAAAAAAAGGCTAACAAATACAACACTGATGCAAAAGCATTTTTTGGAAGACAGATATAATTTATGAGAAAACCTGTTGCAAAATTAATCCTAATTATTTCTGATTCTGATCTCTTTTTACCATCATTTACATATTTGGATCAATTAAAAATGGGTCAGATGAGTTAAACAGTTAGACACGAGTCACTAGAGGTCCACCAGGGGGAGACACATCCCCACTAATAAATGGTCCAGTTGGTCCCTGTTAAAGCAGATACTGGTTGGATCAGGCTAGATTTAACCGCCAGCAAAGTGTTTGTGTTTAGACTTGGAGACATTAGAAGGTTAGACCCAAGTCTGACTAGTCAGACCAGTTAGTGCAGCGATAAGCACCAAGCAGCAGCAGTTCTAATCTCCAAGCTCATTTCTCCTCATGACGCCTCAGAATTTCTCTCAGTTCTCATGAGGTCCACGTCAAACAGCCTCTGATTTCACTGCAGACCTTCTACTGACTGGGTTTTGGTTCTGAAAGAAGAAACATCAAACCAGGTGAGCTGTGATGTCATCAGTTTTAAAACAAGCCTTATATTAATTCTTCGGGTGAGTCCCAGAGCTCGGTGCTATGGCTGTTCTGTTGGGCCTCAGTCTGTTGCTCAGATCTTGATCTTTGGACACTTTGGACATTTTTAACAAACTGTAAGTTTGCTTTGTTTCCTACTAAAACTCTGACTTAAAGAAATGTCCTGTTTGTTTCTCTTGTTAGGGAAAAATGTTTACTTCTTATTTTAATTCTGTCTCCTAGATGAAAAATCTGCTGGATCATTAAATTATTGATTGTCTGGAATGAAACATGATGAACAGCAGATTTCTGTTTTTGCTTTGCTGAACTCAATGCTTCATGTTTTCATTTCCTGGAATCAAACTTTTTTTCACCAAAGAAAAAGTAATTAGGCCTTTTTTTATGTAGCAAAAAGCCTAAATGTATTTTATATGGCAGAAACCCAGATATTTTTTCTTTACTCTAAACCTGAGGAAAATTATCTAAAATTTAGGAAAACGATTTAATCAGAATTTTTAAAGATATATTTTTGGCTTCTGTCATCTTCAGCTTAAGAGCTACATGTTTTTAAAATGTTTTTAATTGATGACAGGTGTCAGAAGAATACAGCATAAAAAATTAAGGCAAGAAAGAATTGATTGTTTATTATGGTGGAACAACGAACTTCAGGAAGACAAAGACCAAAGAAAACTGCAGGGAAAGGTGGAAAATATGCTGAAAAATCCTACAAATTGGTAATAATCTTCTAGCAAATATCTTTTCCTTTTCCTAGAGCCCACGAAAAATAACCCAATTGAAATGAAATATTAAAAATGTATTTATTATGTTTTAATAATGACAAAACAAGACAAGTTTCGGATTACAAATCAGGAAGCATTTCTGTCAAAGATTCATAATTAATTTAGTTGCTGGAATAAATCAGGAGGTTAGAAAACATCAGCAGCTGATCAGGGATGGAGACACATGCTGCTGCTCTTATTAGTGTTTGTTTTTTAATGTAGCATGAGGAAATATACCTTAGTATATTTAACCCAGAACTAAACAGAATGATGGGTAGGATCATCTTTACGGTTTGTTACCATGGTGATAAACTCAGAATTAGACTAATCGCTGTGTCTCGATTAAAGAAGCAGAGTTTCTCACATGTCAGGGTTTACATTCAGTTAAAATGTTTTTCCATAACCTGCTTATGAGCAGATTTACCGGCAGACAACGAACAGAGACGAGGTAGAAGAAAACCTGTTAGGATCCAGTCAGACGAGAATTCCTCCTAACAACCCCTCCTACTTGTCTCATCTATCGGGTGAAGCTCTTCTTCCTTACAAGAAACGGCTCACGATATGAGCATGATTGCATGAATTTTGATGAATGGATTCCCACTTATAGTAGGAAGGGATGCAGGACAAACAATCAGCTTCCCAGTTAGAATAGAAACTGGGAAGAGATGAGTTCAGAAGGAGACAGAATTTCTCATTGGACGGTTGAGAGAAAGAAGACAAAGGATTTAGAAATAAGAACAAAGACATCTGAGAAGTAACAGATGTTAAAAAAATGCACATTTGTAACATGTGAAAAGAGAAAGTAAAACATGTACGTTAGAAAGATGGGTTCTTGATGAAAACAAAGGGTGGTAACTGGTATCCTGATAGATATTAATGGAGGGGAAGTAAGTAAAATAAAATAACTGATGTGAATTAAAAAATGTTCAAAGAATAAGGAGTCTGTCTGGTTCTAGAATTTAAGGATTGTGTTTCACCAGATAAATTTAAAGAAGGATGTTTGAGTTTCCTGGTTTGGATCTATTTAAAGGTCAAATATTTGGGGATGTTTTCCCCGTTTGTAAAGGTTCATAGAATCAATAAAGTTAGCTGTGCAGAGGCAGTAAGAAAACTCAAAGAAAGGATGAAAGTTTAAAAACTTATCGACCATCATCTGAGAAAATGTAGAGAGAAGGAAAAGATAAAGAATCAGTAACAAACAAACTGACTTTGGTTCTTTTCTATGTGATCAGTTGGACCGATAAAGTAAAACATAAGATGGAAGAAATAAAGTAAATGGAGAATGAGCAGAAAATTATTGGGAATAAAATATCTTTAATGAAAACTTTACTAAAGACCTGAAAGAGATTAGAAGCTGATTGATCCTAATGGTCAAACAATTTCACAGTGGAGATTGCTGGAAGCCATACAGCTATTGGAAAGGAGGTAAAAAGATTAATTAAGAATCTTACAGAGAAACCAGATGTTGTTTGGATTCAGGAAACTTTGCTTTATCCCATAATAAATGTTTTTTTTAAAGGTTATGTAACTCAATGAGAGGCAAAGTAGAAGGAAACAAAGGGGATTATATGATTTATTAAAGAAAGAAGGCAAGACAGATTATAATTACCAGGTATTGATTGGAGTTTATGATAGATTAATTCTGGATGGAAGATGGTAAACTTAAGGTATTAAATTTCTATAATCCGTTTAAGAAGCTGTTCTATGAACACAGTTAATGTGACTGATTTGGATTTAGATGAAAGATTATTTGCTGCAGTGATTTTAAAGCATGTAACATAGTGATGAAAAAGCAAAGTTGGTTGAAAAGCTTGTGAGGAATAAGAATTTAGTATTTAATGATGGAAGAGGAGCAAGAATTAAAGTTGGAAATAAGAGATGAACTGAATCAGTTTGAAGATTCAATACTGATCTGATAGAGCTGTTTAATAAACATAAATGAAATGAATAAATTTGACAAACTTTTTACACATTTCTAAATGTTGAACTATGTGTTATGCATTTCGTAATAAACATTGTAAATTGTGTTATACACTCACAAATTTAGTAGCTGAATCTATATGAACCTGCTTCAGACTAATTGAACTCCAAAGGAAAACAGTTTAAAGCTTTGAATAGATAGTAGAAAATAGAGCTGCAAAAACAGGAGTGGCTAAACTGCTTATTAGTTCAACTATTCCTCTTCTAGAAATACATCCTTGCAGTGCGACTTCTGTAGAGACTCTCTGCTGTGTTTCTAATGAAGCAGGATGTTTTCCAATCAGAAACTGAGAAAACAGACTCAGGGTTCTGAACTGTAGGAAGACCTTGGAGGATTTATTTCTTCTCACCACTGATCTTCTCCAACCTTACAGACAGTTAAAGCAAACTATCGAAAATTAATTGATTTTCTAATTAATAAATGACCAAAAACTAACCAGAAACATATTGTCTCCTCTACTGCCAATGTAGAACAAACATTGTACATTTCACAGATATATATATAACATCTCACCATCTGCTATGAATCAAACACCGAAGCCTTGAAACTGTAACTATATTCAAAAACAGTAACGTCTGACTTTACGATCAAACCTTTGGTCTAAGAACTGAGATGGAGATGCTGCCGGATTTATGTAACTGTTTTATGGTCAAATTACTACCAAAAATAATGTTTTCATGCTGAACATGTTTTAATAACAAGGAGGGATAGTGACAGAAATAAAGGGATTGATTTCAACATTATCCAGTCTCTTGATATCAAATATAGATAATATATTATGTATAGTCAATTTAAGCAGTTATTATATCTGTTAGTACTTTCAGAATCTATTAATCTTTGATCGTCCTCAAGGTTTGCTAAAGAAAGCTGCAGAGCTGCATCTGGCTTTATTAACGATACATTGTTTGACATAGAAACACCTTCTGATCCTGTTTGGCTTTAGTGGAACTGATGAAGCCAGGATCTCATCATCAAGCCTGATTTTATCCCTTATCCTGGAATTTCTGAATTCAGCTTGTGTGAAATAGACTTTAGATAGAGATGAAGGTCTTTGGTCTAAAGCCTGACTGGAAAGAACTGAAGGGTAATTTTATGATAAACAGATAATTTAGGTAATAAATTGTTTGTCAATGATCTTTGGTGTAGGTTTGATGGTCTGATGAATGTATTTATTAGATTAAGTTCTTTCTCCTCAGTTATCTTTAGAGCCTATGGAAAAAACCCATTATAAGGTAAATATTAATGCTATAATTTGATGCTTTAAAACCATATGGCCAACTTATCAAGGCAGCAAGTTGTAGATTATAGATCAATTAGTGTTTCTGTCAAATATATATTTTTCAGTTTGTTAAACACATTTAGTTGCTGTATTGAATCTTGAGGCCCGAAAAACCTCAGCAGGTGATCAGAGATGGAGACACATGGTGTTGAACTCACTGTTTGGACCCAATGATCTGCTGCAGAACTTGGTGGATCAGGTTCAGGTTTAGGAGGGACGGTGGCTTCAGGTTTGACAGCCTGAAGATGAACTCAAACATATAAGAATTACTTACTTTTGGTTGATAAAAGTGTGTTTTGTTTGTTGTTTGGGTCCTCACAAAATAGAACAGATTCCAGACCTATCTTATTTTACTGCCTAAGAAAGAATACATTTTCACGTCCCCCTTGCAATGCCCTCGCAGACCACTAGGGGTAAGAGTACCTCCTGTTTGTAATCACTGTGTTAGATCATTATCTTAGGAATCTGTTACCATGTTAATCTCTGTCTCATGTTAAAACTCTTCTAAAAACCCACCTCTTTTCTTTGGCTTTTGACACCATGTAGAGTGTTGATTTTATGTACACATGCATATTTTTTATCCTGTGTGGGCAGTGCTTTTATTTCATTTTATTTTATTTACTTTTATTTATTTTTTATTTATTTTATCTTTTTGCGCAGCACTTTGGAAACCTAGTGTTTATTGAAATCGTGCTATATAAATAAAGGGGATTGGATTGGATTAACTCAAAGTTAGACTAATCTCTACATCTGGACTAAAGAGCCACAGTTTCTCTAACTTCAGGGTCAACATTCAGTTTAACTGTTTTTACTGAACCTGCTTTCCTCAGCAGAACAACAACACAGATGAGTTTGGTAAAAAAAACAAAAAACCAGAAACCAGTCAGACCAACACTCCTTCCATTAACTCCTCCTACTTGTCTCGCCTCCATCACAGGTGAAGCTCTGCCTCCTTCCAGTCAGCAGCTCACCTGTTGGTTCCTACCTGATTAGTAAATTAGATACCTTTGGTGATTTTGCTTTCACAACCCTGGGTCACAGAGGTTTTCTAGAGTTATGGGATGTTTTCTGATTTGTTTTGTTGATGGGAATCGTGTTCCGGCCTTCATTGGACTCATACAGCTTAAACAGCGTCCTGATCTGATAGTCCACTATGACCAACTTGATCTGACTGGTGTTTAGTCTTAGTCTTAGGTTGTTCCTGGAGAACTACTCGGTCAGATTGTGGATCTTCTCTTTAGTGGGTCTCATCGTTAAGACACCAACCTTGGTGATGTCATCTGCACACTTCACCACCATCATTATGGATCAGAAACATGTTGACATGTTGAAAATCAGTGGGACTGATGATCTCCCCTGTTCTCACTAACAGCCCAGGTGTTGAGGATGGAGAAACTCAAGTCATTGCTAAAGGAAGAAAGTATTGCATATTTTTTTTCCAGATTTCATTTTCCTTCCACTGTCACAAGTTCAGCACAAAAAAATTAACTCTCTGCATTTAACCCATCACATTGGGAAGTAGAGGGCTGCCATTGTGCAGCGTCCAGGGAGCAGTGTCTTGCTCAGAGACCCAGAGGGCAGGCTGTGGGAGTGGGGTTTGAACTCAGAACCTCTGGATTCCAAGCTCTATGCCCTGACCACTAGGCCCCCACTCCCCCCAAGGCTGAGCTAAAGAATGAGCTAAGGCCGCTCCTTCACCCACTCTGTCCGGCTTCCATCCCTTCAACCACACAGCTGCCTTTGTATCACCGGCGTCCCGCTCTGCGCGGTGTTTGGCTGATTGAAAACACCTGTGCCGCTGCCATGGGCGTCTCCAGCGTGGTAACATGACCTCAAAACAAAATCAGAAAAACATGCAACACAAAAACCCAAACTAAATCCAACAAGAAAGTAAATAACTTCAAAATATAACAAGCAATCCAAATCAGAAAAATAAGACATGAAATTAACTTCACATAGAAAAAAAAGGCCAGATTATCACATATAACAAAACGGAATATCATCAGAACGGCTCCAAATGACACAAAACTAATATGGGTGAGTAGAACATGATGGAATAATGTAAAATCAAGGGGCCAATGTAAAAAAACAATAAACGGCGTCCCCCTTTAACAGAAAGATAGAAAAACTGATAAAGGCATTTTAAACTGCGTTTCTTGCATTCTTGTGGGAGTGTTTTCTCTGTCAGAACAACAGCAGACATGAAGGAGATAAAAAACGGTTAGAATCCCATCAAATCCCTCCCACTAACTCCTCCTACCTTTCTTACCTCCATCTCAGGTTAAACTATTTCCTTTTCCAGTAAGAAGCTCACCTTTTTATCCGTCTGCTGCTCAGATCTTCAACACTTTAGAACAAATTATTTCTACTTCTACTAGAACTTGGTAATGAGGAACTTTTCTGTTCAGTTCTAATGTTTGGAGAACATGTTTGCTTCTTGTTTCAGCACAAAGCTTTATCTATTTGATGTTTATACCACAGGATAATTAATTATGAATCACAGAAAATATATAATATGTGCCAGAATAATTATTGAATATATTTATTTTATTTTTCTGTTTATCTGCTGTTTTTATCCATTAAAGTATACTGAAATGTTTTTATTTCCTGAAGCTAACTGTCGTCTGTTGTTATTCTGCTGCACCTTCTTTCTTTCTTGTTAAACTGGAATCACTTCATTCCTTCAAAGTCAGATTTTGCTTAAATTTTTTTTTCTCAAAATGTTTTTTGATTTTCTTCATTTAATTAATTTAATTTAGTTGGTCTCTCACTTTATTTTCCATAGTCATAAAACTAATATTTTAATCCTCTTTGTTAAATTTCCCCCCTCAGTTGATTTCTAACTTTGTCCCTGTTTGTTTTTTCTTGTTCCTCTGAAAACCAAGCAGCCATAATAAATCCAATGTTTTCTCTTTGGTGATCCTCTACTGCTTCATCTATCAGCTGAAATTGTTTAACATGATGACCTGAGTCCATGTGATGGACTGAAGCTTCCAGTCAGAGCAAATCAGTCAGTGGATGGGAATGTTGCTCCATGGCTCCATCTAGTGGACTGATATCAGAACAGCAGCTGAAGGCAGCCTCCTCTTCCTCTCTGCTGTCTGGCTGTATTTACCAGATATTGATATGAATCAGGGAAGAAAAATAAATCAGCGCAGCAGCTGATCTTTTTCCAACATTAATGTTTTATCAGAGCTGATGTTCAGATCAATGATCTGTTTCTTCTGCAGGTAGAAGGTGTGGATTCAGCAGCATGGATCAGTGTGAGGACAGAGAGGACGGAGCCCCTCCCTCTAAAATAACTCAGAGTGAGGAAGATGAAGCTCAGAGGTGAGATCTTCATCTCCTACTGTCCTCAGTCCTTTTCACACAGCGTTCACTATATCAGGCCAAACAGACCTGGTCATGAAGCTGCTGCTGTTCCTCAGTGGTTCTTCATCCAGACTGAATAGAACCAGTTCAGCATGGAACCAGTGGGTTCTGACCAGCAGCAGAACCAGCTGAGTGACACCAACCAGTTCGATCTATTAAAATGTGTTTTGATGTTTTTTTTTCTTCTGACAGGATTCATAAAAAACGAGGTAAATGTGAACCAGAGCCCAGAGATGATTCAATGGAGCCTCCAAAGAAGTCCAGACGTTCTGATTCTTCATCATCAGTGAGGTGAGCTGGAACTGAAGAAACTGAGTCAGGCTGAAATGTTTTATTCCAACATGTTTAAAATAAGTTCAGCTTTTACCCCCACTTTTCTATGTTCATATGTGAAGCATCTGAAGGATGTTCTCCAGAACCACAGTAATAAAAAAAGAAAAGAAAAATATGGCAGAGGTCTTCAACAGGGGCCCGCGACCCCTAGGGGGTCCATAGGGGTACTGGATGGGGGTCGCGAAAGGTCTAGTGAATTAGACTTTTTTTATTTATTTTTTTATATTCCCTCCTGCAATTTTTCCACTAATTGAAATGTCTTTAAATCCACATTAACATGAATCCAACAGACTGTAGTATACAGATAAATGGAGGCAGAAGATGTCTTTCAGTCATCAATGCTCACATTCAGCGACACACAGGAGCTCTTTCAAGCTGGACACCATTTCATTCACAACACCTGTCCCATCAACCAGGAATCAGAATCAGAAATACTTTAATAATCCCAGGGAGAAACTGCTTTCGTTACATAACACCATTTTTAATAGAGTGACCATAGCACCTTGATATAACACAATTTCATACAATATGTATAATTAGGGGGTCCCAGCTCCCATCTCGCCATCAGCTTGGGGGTCCTTAGCCTGGGACACGTTGAAGACCCCTAATATATGGTGTTGAACATTTCAGTTCAGTTCTGTTCAGCTTTATTAAAATCTCAAAGAGAATTTTAATGTTCAGTAAACATCATGAACCCAAAAGATTACATCCAAAGCAAGTAAGTTCTACATTTCAAGAGAAATGTATCAATGGACCAATAGAGCTGCTCAATGGTGCTGTGGGGAGCACGAATTATCCGGGTTCGATTCCTGGCCCAGGGTCTTTTTTCTCTCCAGGTACTCCGGCTTCCTTCCAAAGTCCAAAAACATGACTGTTAGGTTAATTGGCTTCTATAAATCCTCCTTAGGTTTGAGTGTGTGTGAATGGTTGTTTGTCTCTGTGTTGCTCTGCGATGGACTGCAGACCTGTTTGAGATAGGCACCAACACCCTTCGCCACCCCAGCTGGGATAAATGGATGAACATTGATACTGAACACATCCTGCTGCTCTTAGATGCTGTTGAAGCATTTTAACACACGATAAATTAAAAGACATTAAAGTGTGTTGATCTCCCAGGATAACATGAACATTACAGTGCATTACAGTCCAAAGGAGGACTGATGTTGGTAGAGCAGTCTTTTAAGTGTTAAATAATTTTAACAGTATATCAATGTTTGATTCAAAGCACAAATTAATGTCAATGAAAGTCCCTGAGTATCTATTCTCAGTTTTACATTCTTTTAAATCTTATATCTCTAATATTTTCACTTTCTCTAACATTTAACAAACCTCCACATCAGAAAATATTTTTATTCATACATTTTCTCTCAGCATCCCTCAGAGAAACAAAACAGGACCAGAACCCAGCTGTCTCTCCTTGAAGAGCAACAGGTCAAAGGATGAATTTTTTCACTTCAAATCTGCTGGACCTTCATCCTCAGAGAGGTGAGCTGTTTCTAACTGATCTAACTGTAGGAACTGGGTCAGTCTGAAATGTTATCAAATGTTTCTCATAGGTTTGCATGTTTAAGAACATGTGCAAACTTGATTGCATGTGAGAGGCGTAACCAGACCATGATTACCAAATATATTCCAATTAAAAACCCATCTGTTTAAAGCTGTTTTTGACTGTTAAACTGTTAGCTGAGGTATCATTAGTTTAGGGTTGTGGTCCAACTGTTTGCTTTATTACCTGCTATTATACAGTGTTTATGTTTGCTTTTTTTATTCTGCTTTTATTTTCCTTATATTTTACAGTTTATTTCATGTAACGAACTTTAAATCGTCTTTGCATAGAAATGCAAATAATTTGTAAAATGATCAGAACTGGTGCAAACTGTTTGAATGTCCTCATAAATTTGCAGATGACTTTCTTATGATCAAAATATATTAATACTAAGAGGAGGATATGAAAATGTAAATATTTACTAATCAGGGAGCCATTTATCAAACCACGATCTGATGGCAGATACCTGAAAATATGCATCCTTAAATTGTTATAAGAGCACAGCTGTGATGTATTTAGATATTTTCACCTCTTTGGTTTATATTATTTGAAGTAAGGCCGGTTTTGTAAGGTGTTAATGGAGATAAATCCAGCTGTTTAGAATGGAATCCCATTCTAGGTCTGACTGTGGCTCCTTCTCTGTCAGAGTGGGTTTGGATAAAGTCGCAGACCTTACCTTTTTTCAGGTTTTATTACACTTATTTATTTTTAGAATTCAACTTCTGCTATTTTTATCTTTTTCATTAATTACTATTTTGTACTACTTTGAGGTCCTTATATGCCAACTGAACTATAAACAATATCAATCTTTATTTCCACTATTGTTTATTTAATACATTTAATTTTTATCTCCTCCTTAATGGCAGAAACTTGTCTCTCTTTTACATCCTCACCTAAACTTCTGTTAGCAAACAGTTTACTCATTTAAATAGGAAAGAACCAAACTGCTTTTCCACATCTTATCCGTCACACAGTCTTTGTAGATTTCCTGAACATCTAACGTGGTGCTCCTTATTTGCAATCATGGATGATCACACCCTCAGAGTAATATGTTTAATCTGGAGCTGTGCCTGTTGCAGTTTAAATTACTTGGTTGCCATAGTAACAAACCCTATCAGCCCCTTTTTGTCAGACAAGAGCAAGAAAAACAGATTCCATAAAACACTGGTGAAATAGTCATAAGTCCCTGAGTATTTATTCTCAGTTACTGTTTCACATTATTTTACATCTTTATATCTAAAATCTTTCTCTAAGATTTAATGAAACTCAATATCAGAGAATATTTTTAATCATACATTTTCTGTCAGGATCCAACAGAGAAACGAAACAGGACCTAAACCCAGCTTTGTCTCCCTGAAGAGCAATAAGTCAAAGGATGAATTTTTTCAGTTCAAATCTGCTGGACCTTCATCCTCAGAGAGGTGAGCTGTTTCTAACTGCTCTAACTGGAGAAATTTGTCAGTCTGAGATCTTTTTATTCTACCATGAGTTTAATGGGGGGGATTCATCTGTACACATTATGCTCCATATTTATTGTTATTGTTGACTTGTGTTTTCCTCATGGGACTGGGCTTATAACTACAAGCTGATATTTTTCAGAAAATTAATTGATCAAGAACTGCAACAATAAAAAAATACCTTTCAATTAAATTAACCAATTTAGGGAAAAATCTTAATACAATAAAATATTTTTATGTGTTCTGAAAATCATCATAATAAAGCAAAATTGGCCACTGAGCTATTTTCTTATTTGTTTTTTTTTGTGGGTAATTTTGTGTTTTTGAATTATGTCTGTTAAAGTCTAAAGTAAAAGTGTTTTTTTTTCTTTTTTTCTTTAATACACCCAACAAAATTTAAACAACAGGTAAAAAAACATACCGGTAACTGCTTTTTCATACCGTTTCTCAGAGCAGGTGGCTTGTTTATGGTAGGGACACTGGTGCATCTCAGTGAATTTTTCAATCTTCTTCATGTCAAAAAACCCTAAAATATCCCTTTAAGTGATCTACAAATGGAACAACAGAGATGAGAGTGCTTTTAATAAATGTAAAAACAATCTACCATAACAGATTACACATTATCTTACGCATTAACTTGAGCAGCAATCTTCTCCTACCATCTCCTTCTCCTTTGCTGCTTTAGCCCTGAGATCACTCTCTTTTAAACAAATTCTGTGATATTTTTTTTTATATAATTCTTTATTATTATCATTTTTTATTATCAGTGGTGTGAAATAGGGATTTCCTGTTGCCTGTTGTCATTGTGAGTCGGCAAAGTGAGGCCACGTTTTCAACTCTGAGTGGACCGACTTATAATTGATTAAACTGACTCACAGCAGCTGTTATGAAACAGTTTCTAACCTCAGATTAGATCGATTCAGAGTTTAGGATTTGAGTCCTAGTTTGTTAAGACTTTATTGCTACCTGGAGCATGTGATTCTCTGCAACATTTTACTTTAACCTTCTGTTTTTTTTTTATGTGGAAATAAATAATGTGAGCTCAGTGGTTTCCACTGACCTACTGGGAATCTTATCCAGGACAGAACCCTGCATGGACAAACATATATCTGACCTCTATAAAAGGTCTAATGGGGGGTTTCTGCTGCTTCTAGTCTTTATCCTTTTATATCCTCTTCCTCTTTCTAACCTCTTTTTATTTTGTACATTTAAATCTGTTTTTCTTTTTTAAAAGACTTTCACTGTGAAGCTCTTGATACTTTCATCACTGAAAACTACTGGATGAATATTTCTTTTCTTCCTAATTGTTCCTGGTTCTTCCACAGGGTGGACGAGCAGAACCTAGAACCATCTGGTCAGCAGCATCAAACTCAGCTGGACTCCATATTTATGGTTTGTAAATGGAAAACTGCTATTTAGTCAATTATCTCCAAAGTGAACTCCTAGCTTCACTTGTGGACCAGAGGACCATCATTCTGTCCAACATCATTTTAATGTTTGCTCCATGATCTCAGTCTCATATGTTCTTCATATGTTATTTTGTACCAGCTGCTGGAGGAAAACATTGTCACGTTCGTGAAAAATGAACTGAAAAGGATCCAGAAAAAATTGAGTCCGGATGACCCAAAATGGTCAGAGAGTCAGAAAAATGATGATGAGAAGGTGTTGGGAAGTGAGGATGAGGGCAGCAGAGAAGCACTGATGAAGATTACAGTGAACTTCCTGAAGATGATGAAGCAGGATGAGCTGGCCGACCGTCTGCAGATCAGTAAGAAGAATTTTACAAAGATTTAATCTGATGGATAAATCACAGATTTACTGATGTCTGCAGAGATTTCATTATTTATTCAAAGAATCTTCTTTTTATGTTCATTTAGATCTTGCTGCAGTTTTACAACTTAAATCTGGTCTGAAGAAGAAGTTCCAGTCTGTGTTTGAGGGAATCGCTAAAGCAGGAAGTCCAACCCCTCTGAACCAGATCTACACAGAGCTCTACATCACAGAGGGAGGAACTGGAGAGGTCAATGATGAACATGAGGTCAGACAGATTGAAGCAGCATCCAGGAAACCAAACAGAGCAGAAACAATAATCAGACCAGAAGATATATTTGAAGACTCCCCTGGAAGAGATCAACCAATCAGAGCAGTGATGACTAAGGGAGTGGCTGGCATTGGGAAAACAGTCTTAACCCAGAAGTTCACTCTGGACTGGGCTGAAGGCAAAGCCCACCAGAACATCCAGTTCATATTTCCATTCACCTTCAGAGAGCTGAATGTGCTGAAAGAGAAAAAGTTCAGCTTGGTGGAACTTGTTCATCACTTCTTCACTGAAACCAAAGGAATCAGCAGCTTTGAAGACTTCCAGGTTCTGATCATCTTGGATGGTCTGGATGAGAGTCGACTTCCTCTGGACTTCACCAACAAGGAGATCCTGACTGATGTTACAGAGTCCACCTCAGTGGATGTTCTGCTGATAAACCTCATCAGGGGGAACCTGCTTCCCTCTGCTCTCCTCTGGATCACCACACGACCTGCAGCAGCCAATCAGATCCCTCCTCAGTGTGTTGGCATGGTGACAGAGATCAGAGGGTTCACTAACCAACAGAAGGAGGAGTACTTCAGGAAGAGATTCAAAGAAAAGAAGCGAACCAGTAAGATCATCTGCCACATGAAGAAATCTCAAAGTCTCCACATCATGTGTCACATCCCAGTGTTCTGCTGGATCACTGCTACGGTTCTGGAGGATGTGTTGAAGACCAGAGAGGGAGGAGAGCTGCCCAGCACCCTGACTGAGATGTACATCCACTTCCTGGTGGTTCAGACCAAAGTGAAGAAGATCAAGTATGATGGAGGAGCTGAAACAGATCAACACTGGAGTCCAGAGAGCAGGAAGATGATTGAGTCTCTGGAAAAACTGGCTTTTGATCAACTGCAGAAAGGAAACCTGATCTTCTATGAATCAGACCTGACAGAGTGTGGCATCGATATCACAGCAGCCTCAGTTTACTCAGGAGTGTTCACACAGATCTTTAGAGAGGAGAGAGGGCTGTACCAGGAGAAGGTGTTCTGCTTCGTCCATCTGAGTGTTCAGGAGTTTCTGGCTGCTCTTCATGTTCATCTCACCTTCATCAACTCTGGAATCAACCTGATGGAAGAAACACAAACATCTACGAATGAACCAAAGTCTCTCCATCAGACAGCTGTAGACCAGGCCTTACAGAGTCCAAATGGACACCTGGACTTGTTCCTCCGCTTCCTCCTGGGACTTTCACTGCAGACCAATCAGAGTCTCCTAAAAGGTCTGCTGACACAGACAGGAAGTAGCTCCCAGACCAATCAGAAAACAGTTCAGTACATCAAGAAGAAGATCAGTGAGAATGTTTCTGCAGAGAAAAGCATCAATCTGTTCTACTGTCTGAATGAACTGAAGGATCGTTCTCTGGTGCAGGAGATCCAACGGTCTCTGAGTTCAAAGCGTCTCTCTAAATATAAACTGTCTCCTGCTCAGTGGTCAGCTCTGGGTTTCATCTTAGTGACATCAGGAAAAGATCTGGATGTTTTTGAGCTGAAGAAATACTTAGCTTCAGAGGAGGTTCTTCTGAGGCTGCTGCCAGTGGTTAAAGCCTCCAACAAAGCTCTGTAAGGACACTGATTGATACTGTACTTATTTTTCATAGTGATTAATATGTTAATGCTGCAGTAAATATGGATTTATGTTGTTTCAGTTTATCTATGACAAACCACATATGCCACAAAAACAGCTGAAATCTGACAGTTTGAATTCCTTAAAAGTAATACCTGAAACCTGTCTATGATTGTTAAGGCTCGGTCGTTAAGGTATTATTCACTGGCTGGAGCTGTCATGATTTCACTAAAGTTCAGACCCAAATGCTGAAGACCAAACAGGGAGACCAGGAGAAAAGGTTTAACAGGTTTTATTGAAGAGATAATGCTGAGAGAATTGTTGCTCTGAACACTGCTCAACCGGAACTGAAAAGTGAGGGGAAGACACAGTGGTTAGTTCAGGCTCAGTGGTATATTTGATTTGTGAACTTGAAGAAGAGGATCTGGTTGCTGACTCACGTTTCCAGAGAAGTTGTTGAATATTTGACTCCTGTCTGTGTGCTGTGGTTCCAGTGTTTTTTCTGATTCGGTGGAGGGCAGAACAGGGTTTACCCAGAATGCGGTTGTTTGTAGGTGAACGGAGAAACTGACTGCCACTCAGATTTCCTGCGGTTCTTGAACAAGTCGTAGTGGAGAATAATCCCTTTCTCAGTGTGAAGCTTAAATGATCTCTTAGGGAAAGGGGGTCCAAACCTTCTGTTTGAACCCCAGCTCAGCTTGAAGCTCTGTTGATTCTTCCAGGGAGAGAAGGTCAGAAAAATCCAGTTTGCAGGATGATTTTCTGCTGAGAGGCAAAAGACAAAAACAATGTTAAAACTCAGTTTGACTTTGCAAAACTCAGCTTGGCTAGAGTACCCAAAACTGGCAAACACTCTGGCGTAGAGGTAGTGGCAGTCAGCAGCTTAAGAACACTCCATTAACGAGGAAACCATCAGCAGGTGTGTGAGGAGGCGGACCAGAACCAGGCGCCTCCTGATGGAGGAAGGGAGACAAACACAGAAACACAAAAACACAGACAGGACTCCTGACAGGAGCGGGTAGGTGCTTTGTTCCTCTGTGATGGGGTGGGGGGTGTGGTGATATCTGGAAGGGATCAGCTCTATAACTGAATTGTAACTTTTTGAAAGCTGGAATCTGAGTCCACCACCTCTGTTTAAAGTTGTTTTTTCTCTCTTAACATAGATGGCTTCCTTCACGCCCCTCTCAAACCACCTATTTTCTTTTTCCATCATGTGAACATTCTGGTCCTCAAAAGAATATCCTTTGTCCACAAGGTGTAGGTGTACTGCGGAGTCTTGTCCAGAGGAGGGCGCTCTTCTGTGTTGGGCTTTGCGTCTGTGGAGAGGTTGTTTGGTTTCTGCAATATAAAGATCAGAGCATTCCTCGCTGCACTGAACAACATATACCACTCCGCTAATATTCGGTCTTGGGGTTTTATCTTTAGGATGCACTAGCCTCTGTTTAAGGGTCTGTTTGGTTTGAAATGTACTGGGATCTTGTGTTTGGAGAAAATCCTCTTTAGTTTTTCAGACACTCCAGCATAAGGGATTGTGATGTTTATGTGTTTAATTTTCTCATCGCTATCTTCTGTTGCGTGTCTTGGATTTCCTTGCTGATTTGATAAATGCCCAGTTTGGATATCCACAGTTTTGGAGAGCATATTTGATGTATTTCTGGTCTTTGTGCTTCTCTTCTGTTTTAGTAGGGACATGCTCAGCTCGCTGTTGTAAGGTTCTGATGACTGAGAGTTTGTGTTCCAGTGGGTGGCGTGAGTCAAAAGGAAAAAAACAACTTTAAACAGAGGTGGTGGACTCAAATTCAAGCTTCCAAAAACTTACAATTCACTTATAGAGATGATCCCTTCCAGGTATCACCACACCCCCCCACCCCATCAGAGAGGAACGAAGCACCTACCCGCTCCAGCCAGTGAACAATACCTCCTTAACGACCAAGCCTTAACAATCATAGACAGGTTTCAGGTATTACAGGTGTCATGTATTTTTCTCTTCTTAACGACTTTAAAAATTGGGGCTAGGTTTTATAAAAATTCAAAGTTCTTAATAAGCAGAAAAGTCTTCAAACAAAGATCCAAAAATCAGGCAGGAGCAGCTGAGTCCAAGTCCAGGGTGCTTTATTGCAAGACACACCACATCCACACTGAGCTGGTCACCGGTGAACAACTGACAATCTGGTGAAGCAGCTTCTCTTTTATACATTCAGGGCTGTTGGGGCTCCACCCCCAAGCCCCTCCTTTCTTTTCACCATTTTAGATGCATTTTCTTCGGTTAAGTCCAATTATTTTTATTCTACCGGGGGAAAGTCCTTTTCAAAACATATTTTTTATATATTTATTCAAAAAACCCTTTATTACAGATCATGGTTACATTTCTTATAGGTCATGATAACATATATTGCCCTTAATACATCACAGTCTTCGTTATTAATGTTTCAGAGGAGAACACAGTCTTAGTTATTAATGTTTTGGAACAAAGTTCTCTTCCAGTGAGTCATGATTATAACTTTCACACCAAACTAGGGTGCTTAAAGTTTCAGTAAAACATCACTTTGTCTGTACCCAGTACTGCTCAGTGTGTGTGCTAAAGACGACAACTTAATTTATCACAATTAGTTTAGCTAAGCTGTGTACTCCTGCACCACTCATTTTCCAAATGCATTTTAAACAGGCCTTACTTCGACTTCCTGCAGCTTCTGAGGCATTAATGATCTTTGGCTCAGCAATCTGCATTTTCCTAACTTAGCCTTTCCTTCGACGCTGTGCTCAGAATTTTCCCCCTTCATTAAAAGCCTACATCTGCAAGGCTACACTCAGAATTCTTTCCATTTAATTAAAAAGCCTTATCTGTAAAGCTGTACTCAGATCTGTATGTGCAGGGTCTCTCACACACACACAGCTCAGAATTTTCCATGCTGATGCACAAACTGTTAGACCTTTAAAGTAAGACCTCTATTCAATGTGAAAGACATGTATATATCTTAATCATTGGTGCACACTAATTCACTACATTTTCCCCCCTTTGATCCTAAAAGGATCAACACTACGTGAGACTATCATAAGTGTGAAGTTTCAAATATTCATATATCATGCACAGCAACTAGAAGTAAAACCAAACCCACATCATATGGTTATAGTGACCAATATAAGAGGTCGTGAGTATATGTAGGACATCTTAACAAAGAGGGATCCCCCTCTTGGCTCACTTATGAGGATCTTTCCTCGTTGCTTACTTTTTTTGTAGAAAGATTTTCTAACTTTGTTTTTTTTGTCAAAGGAAAATGTCAATGTTCAAGCAGCATCTTGTGCCCCGAGGTCACCGCATTCCCCTTTGCACGGGTGTGGTCAAACACCCATAATTAAACCAAGAAAAGCTTCATCATTCCTAGACTATGCCAGGATAAGCACATCATCCAATGGTCAATGGACCTTCAATACATCCAACCTAGGAGTAACCATGTGGCACTCTCCCGCACAGTACTTATACTGTCACATATATTATACAATTATTGTGTCAGTTATTTTTAACATTGGTATTCATAATCATCAATAGTCCCATTGTCCTTTATATCCTGTATGGTATTGTAGCTGAGATTAATAATAGTGCGGGCCTCCGTTCGGGCCCCCATGGGGATAGGGAGCCATCTGCTGTAGATCAGTGGTCAGCTGTATCATCTGTCCTTGCAGGTTGATAATGGTCTGCCGTGCCTCTTGAAGTTGTTGCCTCAGCTCCAGATTTTCTCGGGTCAAACGCTGATTCCCAGCCTTTGCTTTGCGTTTGTACATGGTGCGGCGCAACCGTTCAAAGGGTCGACGTGCGCAGGAGTGCACCAGACCCTTCATGAATTTGGAATAAACCGCCTGGTTCATAGAAGTGATTTCACGCTTAAGTTCATTGTTGGTCTCATACGACTCCAGCGGATGAGCCAAGAACTTTGCTATGTGGTAAGCTTCTTCATGGTCAAGCTCTATGTCATCTGCTATGATCATAGATATAGATGGTGTAGGTGGTGAAGGGACAGGCTGTGGGTCATGTAACTCACCCAGTAAGCCTGTAATGGGTGGTGGCGCATAATAACATTGGCGGGGCGGCGTTGGTCGTCGATCCTCTGGATTCTCGGGACTGGCAGGGGTGCTGTTTGGGCCGAAATCGATCCTGAGGTTCCCAGGTGATGGCGGGTTGGACAGTGGCTTCCCTGTAGGTGATGGTGGTTGATCATCTGGCTGCCTTCTGGGCGTCATCATAGGTTTGTTCCAACCTGGAGGTGCGATGCCTGGCTCCCCTACAGGACCTTCTGGCTGCCTGGGAGGAACATATGGGCATGCTACCTCTAGTGATGGGCCTAACGACGCCAGTGCAGCTTGTTTTTTTCTCTCATTATACGCTAGGCATGCCTCCTCGGATGGGAAACAAGACATTTGGTTTTCGTCACATTCATCATAATAAGTCTCTGCCATGTTCAATAATCTACCTGTGGGGACATAGTATGGCATTTTTAGACATCGTCGTAAGGTATATTATCTCCTATATCTATGGATAATTCAGCATGCAAATTGCTATATCTATGTGAGTAAGTATATAAGTCGTTGTTAAGCCTGTTAATATACATACAGGTGCTGGTCATAAAATTAGAATATCATGAAAAAGTAGATTGATTTCAGTAATTCCATTTAAAAAGTGAAACTTGTATATTATATTCATACATTACATACAAACTCATATATTTCAGATGTTTATTTTGTTTAATTTTGATGATTACAAATGACAACAAATGAAAATCTCAAATTCATCATATCAGAAAATTAGAATATTGTGAAAAGGTTCAAAATTGATGGCCCCTGGTGCCACACTCTAATCAGCTAATTAACTCAAACCACCTGCAAAAGCCTTTAAATGGTCTTTCAGTCTAGTTCTATAGGCTACACAATCATGGGGAAGACTGCTGACTTGACAGTTGTCCAAAAGATGACCATCGACACCTTGCACAAGGAGGGCAAGACA